CGACACCCCCTCCCAGCTCTGCTTCCCCCCCCCGGACACCCTCCCAGCCAGCTCTGCTTCCTGCCCCACCCATGATCAAATGTGCCCAGTTTTTTGGCAGGGTCTACCTGGCAACCCTATCCACAAGTTCTACCCTGTACCTTCCCTCAAAATCCATGGTTCTTATTTTAAAAGGAAATCATACATATCTTAAGGAAATATACAAGCCACTACACTCTTTTGTGCCCTCACTTGGCTAATCTGGAAGTTTGCAGTGATTACATAGCCTAATACCTCCTTAGTTAACAAGACTGGATCCTTTCCATGCAGATGACAAAGCTCATTCATTTCGGTTTGCAAGAATAGTAACAAATATAATGGGAGCCTACAAAGGGCAATCAGTCACTCAGTCATCTGCTTAAAAAGGTATTTGTGCTTCTTCTCAACTCTGGCTGACAGCCAGTGATTCTTTCACACCATACTTTGGGACTCCCATGTAGACCAAAAGCAGCAGGGATTCTGAGATGGAGTATAGTCTTGCTACAAAAATAGCTTGTTACTGTACAGTTAAGTTATTCCCAGTTTCCAAAGTTTAGCACCAGCCTCACGAGCTAAGCACTGTAGTTAAAGCCAGTACTGAAAATTCTCACCCGCTTTGGGGGAACTGAAGTCTTGCCTTCAAGATTGGCTGATAAAGAAAACTGGGGTGGCAATAGTGAAAACAGCCCGCAGAGAAAAAAATAGCTGAACTGGCTCATTCTAAACCTCTTCAGCTTTGTTAGTGCAGGGGAAGGAAATGAGAATGCTAGACAGCAGCTCAAGCTCAGTATCCCCAGCTGTAATTAAGTTAATACGTATTATAGAAGGATACTGTATGGCTTAGTCAGAACAATGCCCCAGACACAGGCTAAGTATTATGTAAAATAGAAAGTATTGCATAGTAACAGCAGCATTAATTACTGTATTAGTAATAGAATATATGGAGATATATACCTCTCAAAACTGGACATAACCTTGAGAGGTCATTGAGTCCAGTCCCCTGCCCTCACAGCAGGACCAAGTACCATCCCTACTGATTTTCCACACCAGTTCTCTGTCCTGGACAATTTGGCTGCAATCAGTTTATAAGCCTTAAACTAAAATGCACTTCAACAAAAAAATGTATTTCAAGTACAAAATGCAAAGAGCAGTGTTTTATTTGATATGGGAGGGAAACCATGTACAATTACAGACAGCTAGTGCTGAATATAGAAATACTGTAGAGTTTAAAAAGCTGCCATGTCTCCCTTAACAGATGCTGCATAACAATGATTGGTTAAGCAATTTACCTTTGGATGACTCCCCACATGTAGCTGCTGTACACACCCAGCATTGACTTCAAATAGGGATTTCTACTGCCATTTCACTAGGCTACTCTAACAGCTTGAGAGGTTAGATTCACAAAAGGAGTTAGGTGCCCAACACTTTAGGCACTTAAATCCCAGAATCAGGCAGCACTGGGCTTCACAATCCTGATCCCCACTCTGCTATCCCGCCCAACAGCAGTAGATGCTCACTCACCTGCAAGACCTAGTCCCAGACTAAATAAAAACGAACCTTACCCACTGAATCTGGCCTCAACAGGTGAGGAGCAGCAACCACTACAGCCCACAATTTTTAGCCTTCTGGTTAGGATACTCACTCAGGATGTGGGAGACACCCCATTCACATCCCTCCCCACTTAATGGGGAGAAGGAATTGAACTGGAGCCTACCACCTCTCAGATGAGTGCTCTCACCACCGGATTATGGGATATTCTGGCTTGGGACTTTGCTGTTAAGGCTTGCACACTTCTCTCATTTTCAACAAGTGACCATGCTGATTACGCTAGTTTTTTCCAGATCTCTTTGATACAGCTGACCAGGTTGTAGGCCATATCGGGCATTGACAGAGTTGTGTTTCAGTAGCTCCATTTCTTTCCCTGGAAGAGAATCATGAGGATAGTAATAGGTGACTGCTAAAGGATCAAGGTTCTAGTCCACAGAACACAATACATTCAGAATTAAGGGCTAAAGCCATGTGCCCTGCTGTGGTGTCTCAAAAAAGTACTGAATACAGTCTGGAGGTGCACAATTTAGAGGCAACTTGGTATTCGTTTAGTTTCCCCCAGCAGTAATCCAATCAAAATGCATCTGTCAGTATGAGGCTAAACCTGATACAATAAACTGTTCTCTGTTCCACGTAACAATAAAATATTCTTTGCTCAGAGCAAAAGTTAATAGGTTTTTAAAACAAGAGGAAGACTAAAATAAAGTTTGAATTTCTACAGCTGTATTAGTATTTCAGGACCATCAGTAACCAACAGCAGCAGTAGAGTCAGAAGGCTATGCTGTAGCCATGGTAGTGCTCAGAATGGATTTTCACCTTGAATGGCTCCTTCCAAATCTTCACTCTGCAGCAAGAGTCAGTATGGGAGGATTTAGGCTTTTTAAATGCCTCAAAATTGAATCTTCCAACTTCATAATCAACCTCATGGTCTGCTCTCTTCAACTTTATAAACATATCTTCTTCTGCACACTGGCCATGATTCCACCACAGCAGACAGCTTGTTCTTAACTGGTGCAAGACTGCAAATCACTGGAATTATCTTGTGCCTTCTAGTTAGAGACAAAAATCAAGCCAATGTATGTTAGAAATACGCTGTAATGTTAGGAATACGCTGTAATTTTTTAAATAGAAATGGGTTTCTTCTCCCAAACTGTTTAAGACTACCATGTTGAACAGGTACGTAGCCAACACTTGTGTTTACTCAGTAAATTAAAAGTTACAACAGGATTTGTCAGGAGCCGAGGCAGAAGACCCATTTTGATAGCCACGCTTTTTTAAAAAGGGACATTGCAAGGTAAAAAGTTATTCGGAAAGATTATGGTTAGCAATACCAATATGATTATTAAAACAAAGCGTTTTAAGATCTGACTTCATAGGATGGGGGAAATGTTTACTTTTTGAAATTCAATTTGGGCAATGAAGACTACTACTGCCACTCTGATTCACATACAGTAGAATTTGAATAGAAAGCTGGCCCTAACCTTTATATCAGAGATAGGATTATAGCAGAATACTATTTTCATGTTTGGATTGGAAATAATGCACAAATATTTGTTTAAAGAAATTGATTCCACTGGAATTCTAAAGTATTTTTCAAGGAACTCTCTCAGAAATTTAGGACTTAATATTTTCCCCTGTCGCTGTAAACAAGTCTGAGGCCAAATCTGATTTGCCAGAGTTCCTTTAGCCAGCATGGTTTTGCTTAATTTGCAGGACTGATTTTTCTTCTTCTTTGTAGAGGCTGGGAAGAGAAAGGTTGAAATTCATTATAATGAGCCAGAGTCAGAACTGTGCAGAATACCGTTTGGCAACATAGTATGGATTACCAAAAAAAAAAAAAATCAAATTGAACAAGCTATTGCATATGCTATATAGTTAAAGAATATGAGATTCTAGACACAGATGACTCAGCTTCAGCACAAAGACAGCAAAACACAGCTGTAAATCCAGAGATTCATGACCCATTATATTATCAACACAGCTATGCACTCTGTGCAGTCAGCCCACTTCCTAAGAAATCCCTAACATTCTGGATTAAAATGTTAGCTTGCATACTGAAACCAATGACGACAAGTCCTTTCAGTTATTTTAAATATTTGTCGTGTATCTTGTCAGAAAAATGCCTTATTTCTTAAATTCTAACACCAAAAGCACTAAGAGCACAAAAAGGCGTTGACATTGCACTGTCCCAGAGGAAAGAACCATTGCATCCTGGGTGCCATCAGACATCTGGATTTCTTGCTCTGTCTTAAGGTAACAGATTTAGAAGTGTTTTCAAACATCTATAATGCTTTTTAAAGAGCCAAATGATATTAAAGTTACTAACATTGCCCTGACAATCATGAGCAGTCTATTGGAAATCCTCTGTGATAAGGCTGAATCTGAGCAGCTGCTTTGGAAGCATCAGACCGCACATTTTCTCTTTGTACATTTGGTAGCACAGCAGTAAAGTTAATGGAATGCTCCAATAACCATTTGTAACAGCTTCAAAAATAAATGTCTCAGCTTTGCCTCAGCCTTATTCCATTAGCAAGCAGGACATCACTGGAACAAACTCTTTGTACTAGCACAAATTGTAGTCGCACTTCATGCAAGGATGCTGAAAATGGTTGTGTCGTATTTATTATGATAGCATAATTCAGCACTTGTTCAGGAGAACTCAATTGTCAGCAATGGGTTAATTTCACAGAGCAGATAGGGCTCAACATGTCAAATTACTACCATACTATATACTCATCTCAACACTTCAGTGTAAATGCCTCTGAACCGAGTAAGAGCTTTAAGTAATCAACACTGAGCATAGAAAATCTCTCCACAGTAGCAGGACAGGTTGGGAGTGACCACAAAGGAGGAGAAGAAAATTGTATTGAATTAAATGGTCTGCTCCATTGAAGACTGACTTAATCTTCAGAGAGCAATTGTTTTTAGAGGAGAATACTAAGTATACACCCCTCCAAAATACATTAATTTTGCTTGAGATCTCCATTGCCATTTCTAATCAGAACAGCCAGACACCCTTATAGGAAAGCTCTTTGTGTAAATTGTCCATCTGGTCCCTCAGAACAGCCAGACACCCTTATAGGAAAGCTCTTCTTTGTGTAAATTGTCCATCTGGTCCTTTGT